GTGTGACTCCTCTCTCTCTCTCATTCACTCTTTCACTTCTGTCGAGCCAGTTTTTCAGGCTCCGAGGCTGATTGCTCTGCCTCTGGCTCAACCTAGTGTTTGAGAAACCTTCACACCTCTCTGCCTGTGAGCACAGTGCATGTTTATGCAAGCATGTGTATCTCCCTCATCAGGTCCCCCACCCCACCCCACCCCACTCATCTACAAGTTCCTCCTTTGACAAACTCCCTTGTAAAGTTGGCTTTTTTCTTTTTTTTTTGCATGTCACGTCCCAAGTTTCAAAGTTTGCAGGCGTGGGCAAGTTTTTCTGTTTGCCAATTCATCTCCATTTTATGTGTCTGAGTTGCTGCTTGGTGTTGAGGATGCCACGCAACTTATCGTGCTTTTAGAATGAGTCAGAGCCGTGCGTTTCCAAAGCTCAACATTTTCTGACGAGGTATTTTATATGTGCAAATGGAGCTTTATCATAGAAGGAATGCAAGAACTTCAGCCTGACACGAGTGGCGTTTGCAGATGACGAAGAAAGATGCAGCTTTGTTTTGGAAAGCACGAGTGCGAGGCATCTGGAGCTACATGCAGTCGGGATCTTTGTTTTTATCCCTGTCACATGTAGCCCGTTTATCAGATCATGTCGGCTCAGCGTGTGTTTATGTGTGTGTGGGAAAGGGAGACGGCTGGCGCGCTCGCTGGACTAAGCCTGCCCCATTGACACACTTTAGATTTTAACGGGTGCAGGCGAGCTCTGAGTGGCACGGTGCAGCTGTCCTGTGGGTTAAATCAACATCGAGCGGCGCCACGCCGCGGGCCTGCTCGTGGTGGAGAGTGGACCTGTGCGTGGAGCGCTGAAGGACCGGCTCACGCCAATTCCAGCTGCACTTTAGATGCTTAAGCGCATGTGAAAAAAAATAAAAATAAAAAAGGCGTAGGAGGATGCAAACGAGTTGGAAACTGGAATATTCTGATACTGGTGAGGCTTTGACAGGAAACTGTCTGTGCTTTGTTTTTTAAAAAAAATTGTATTTTCTTCGGCCTATATGCTTTCCACAGTGGCTGAGGAGAAGCCTTTCTGGCTCTTTGGGTATTAAAAATTGTGTTATAAGACACTTTGCGGCCTTTTGCCTTTTTATAAGCCTCTCTATGTATTTATAGGTGTATTCTGCTGTGTAATAGTCCGTCTACTTGCCTTAAATCCAAGTAATAGCAGCTTGCGGCTCCACAAAGCCTAACATTATCCCCGCACAACAACAGTTCTTCGTCTGCCGGGTCTATTTTTACCCAGTTCCTATTCACAATTTGGTGCTTCAATACACACAAATCAAAGCCCTTCAAACAGACGCTGCCCACACACCAAGGACCCTTTGAAACTTCAAATCTGTCAAGGCTGCACAGATTTCTCAATACACCTCCTCCAGAGGTTTTCCTGAAGGGAGTTCCTGCTTTTCTGCTCAACTGAGATTTACTTCAGTTCCTCCGCGCTGACACGGCGCCTTGAAAAGGCACTCATTCATTTGTGTATGTGCTTTGTTGGGTTTTTAATGCGATATGGTAGCAGTGGTAGTATTATTAGTAGTAGCCTGTGCTGCAGACTCAGCTTCAGGTCAATTAGATTGCACATCTAGAGGTGGAGATTTTTGTCCATTCTTGTTTGCAGAATAGCTCTACTTGAACGGATTGAACGGAGATTCTTAATTGAGCTGGACTTTGACTAGGCCGTTTTAACACATGAATATGCTTTTGATCTAAGCCACTAAATTGTAGCTCTGGCTGTATGTATGTATAGTCCTTCACAAGTTGACGCCTCTAATATTCCTGTGTTGGTTTGTTCCTCACCACATGATACTACCACCTCCTTGTTCAACAGCAGGCATGCTGTGTTCAGAGTGAAGTTAGCTTTCTGGCGCATAGCATTTGGCATGTTGGCTGAAAGGTTAGTTGTTAGTCTCAGACCAGAACAGCTTCGTTGTCGCGTTTGCCGTGTCCCCAACATGGCTTATGGCAGTGTTTCTCAACCCTGGTCCTCACCGCCCTCTGCTCTGCATGTTTTAGATGTGCCTCTATTCCAGAACAGCTGATTCAAATGATTGCATGACCATCAAGTGCTGCAGAAGCCTGTTAATCTCCCAGAGATACAATTCAGGTGTGTGGCAGAAGGGAAATGCCTAAAACATGCAGGACAGGGGTGCGGTGGGACCAGGGTTGAGAAACACTGGCTTATGGCAAACTGTATTTCCTGTGTCTTTCTTTCAACAATGGCTTTCTTCTTGCCGCTCTCCCATACAGTATAGCTTTTTGAATTTCACAACCAATAGTTATCCTGTCAACAGATTGCCTTTTCTGAACAGCGGATCCATGAACGTCCTCCTGATAAACTATGAGCCTGTTGGGTGTTTTGCTTGAAATATCATAGCCACATTTTCCACAATCTGACATCTAACCTGTCTAGCGAGTTACTTGGAAAATCTGCCAACTACCATGATGTAATTCTGTTTGGTGCGGTAAATTGCTGCGTCGGTTACCATTGCAACATCTAACATAATTTCACCCAGGGCTGCGTCTCCCCATATTTACCGGTAGCTACGTTCATCTTCCTATCAGGTCTGACCAGCTTACTGGTCCCAGTTGCAGAAAAGCCAAATCATGATGCAGCCACCACCCTGCTTCACAGTGAGAATGACGTTTCAGGTGATGAGAAGGGTTTGTTTTGCATTTTCAAATAGGCCAAAAAAGTTCAATCTAAGTCTCATCTAATGCGTCTTACTTGACTGTGTTTCAAACTGTATCTGCTGTCGTTTATCCCTATAACTGACATAAACTACTATTCAGTACTTTTCCACCATATTCGTGTGAAGCGCTCTGGACTCGATAAAGCGCTAAACAAGTACCAGCCATTTACTATTTACCATAGGGTGGAAACTGTGGGTTTGTCACTGTCAATATTTGCAATATTTCTCTACATTATCTTGGTCGTTTCTTTCAAATACTCTACTGTCATCTTCCAGTTGGTTTCCCTGGATTTTATTATCCAAGCAAAGAGGGACTGGACACAAAGTGTACTCCACACTTTTCAGATCTTTTGTTAAAAAGAAGTTCCAAAACCACATCGTTTTTCGTCCACTTCATAATTCATTGCTCCTTTGTGTTGGACTCTTAACCTGTTTTGTTGGAAGTTTTGCTAACATTTCTGGTTTTAATCTTACAAAATTTGAAAGCAGGGGTGTGAATACTTTCTGTAGCGCTCTCTCTGCTGCTTCCACCTGTGACAGCTTGTTACTCGTCTTGATCGGTGCAAGATCCTCGTTTGTGTTGCTCATTCAGCGCGGGCGGATTACGCCGGATGAGATTATTTATGACAACGTGCCTCTGACTGTAGAAAGATCATCCTGATGGCTACAGTGGGATTGGTGTGAGGCCGAGTCGGAGCTGCAGCGAGAGGCGTCCCAGGAGCACCACAGGTGACGGCACAACAACCAGCTCTGCAAGCGGCGTCTGCCTGATTGCTGCTCCCTTGCTACGGCTCCGTCTCGCCGGTTGAGGCCCGTCGGGAAACAAGCGTGAGCTCCCGTTCGGGCTCTAGAGATTAACGTTGATTCACCAGGAAGGCAAATCCTCCTACCGTTCGACTGAGTCGTCTAAAGCAAATTGAAGCTCAGTTAGTCTCAGAGCGCTGGTTCAGCGTCTCTCCGCGCCACATACACCTGGTACTTTGTAGCTGGATAAGACGGGTCCGGTTGGCTCCGCCTGAACACAGGAATAAACACTGAGCCTGTCCAACTTCAAACGCTCTGAGGGTGGAAGGAGGGTCAGACGGTGCGTTTGAAGGTCTCCACTCATTTTTTTCCCCCCTCCTCTCTCACTCTATTGTCCATCCTTTTCTTGACCCTTGTCAAGCCGTTCTCCTCTTCGCCCTCCTCTTTGTCTCAGTTTCGTTTGAGCAAAACAGATTCTCACTGGCAGCAATCAGAAGGGATCTGACAATGATGGCGTTATGTCTTAGTGACTGACATGGAGTCCGCCGACGATCCGTTTGACTGACAACGATCCTCACTGCTTTGTGTCGGGCCCCCCTGCTGGGTGGGGAGATGCTACCACATGTTCAAGATGATTGAAATAAAGTTTAATATTGTTGCTGAACTGATTCATCAGCTTCCTCCGGATACGCTCAGTAATTTGACATTAAAACAAACTAAACGTTTTCTCTTTTGACTCGGTTACGATGTCAAAAATAATTATTTTCTAAATCAGTCAAGCTTATTTGCATGGCACAATTCAGCAACAAGGCATTGCACATCAAATGTTCCACTTGTTATGGTTCAGAAGCGGCTCTGAACAGGTGGGGTATTGGTCTCGATTTAAAGAAACGCAGTGTTTTAGCTCCTTTGCAATTTTCCGTAAGTTTGAGATGCATCAAAGCTGAATGCTGCTTCTAGGAAAACCGTTTCTTTACTGCTGATAATGACACCTCTTGCCGTCTTATCGGCAGCATCTTCACAAAGCCGTTTAATTTTCTTCTGGGATTGATATCGTTCCTCAACTGTATGACTGACATTCTTATCTGTTTACTCTGGTCTATAGTCTAATGTGGCATCTTCAGGCATCTGGAAAATTTAATGAGACGTATGGAAGTCAACAAATTATTATTTTTAATGTTATGGCTGGTTTGCGTTGATTATTCCAGTGACGTCACGCAAGGAAGCGGTGTGTAAAATACATCCACATACCGTCACTTAACTGAAATTGTGTGAATTATCAGAATCTTACAAAGTTATGATGCCACCATTTGGGTTTTGTTTTTTCCCCAAGTTTGTAATGTAATCTTCTGAATTCGACAAAATTAATACAAATTCTCTCATATTTTGACACGTTGCAAATACAAATACTATTTTTTTTTAGTTGGGTTTGTTGACAGATACAGAGCTAATAAAGGTTAAGTGTGTACAGTTTTCTAAAACATAGAAAACTTCTGCTTTCTGCACCCAGTTCCACATTGACGTGCATTTTATTGTGTGTGTGTGTGTGTGTGTGTGTGTGTGTGTTGTGACTGTAAATCTCTGCTCTCTGCCCCGTCCAGGTGCGAGTGCGATGAGGAGAAGTTTCAGACAGTGAGGTCATGGGCTGCACCTCGGCCAAGCAGGTGTCGGCCGTGCCCAACGATGAGGAGGGACGCGGGAAGGCCTACAGCAACGGAGACCTCTACTCTGGTCAGTTTTACTCCCGGCTGTTGAGGTGACGCCCGCAGCTCCGTCTCGCTCCGCGGCCGAGTTCAGCGCAGACCCGTGGCCTCGCTCTGAACCCGCGAGAGCCCTCTGGCAGAGCTGTGTCCTCTGGTTTGGAAAACGACTGCAGTTTTATTAGAGTCTTCTGTGTTTACTGCTCATGTGGGAGAGAGGAAGTACCCAGAGGGTGATAATGTTTTGTGATAAGAGCGACGCTGGAGATGAATATTTCGCCGCTAAACAGGATGGAGAGATAACTTTGAGTCCGCTCCAATGTGGGAGCTGGGTAAAAAGTTGGGAAGCTACGTATGCTGTAACGATTTTAACATAATCAAACTAAGATGCGTTTCATAAAAATGAAACATTTTAGACGCATCGCATTTCTGATCAGGCCAGAAGCTTCCAGTCCCACCCTGGTTTGCATCCGTTCTTCTTTTAATATAATGTAGCAAGTGAAGACGGAGCCTCGTCGTGTTGAAAGTGTTTTTAATCTTTTCTCGCCAACAGAGGTTTTTTTAGGTAACACCAGCTTTTTCGTCATACATGCATCTAAGGGTGACAAGTACAGAGTAAAGCCCCGTTTTCCTTAAAATATTCCAGAAACGGAGAGTTCTTTTTTAAACTTTTGAAATCTTCCTGTGGAATATTACTCAATTATTCTTACTCCTCTTCAGTTTGGAAGATTTCATGTCCTTCACATATTAATCTTAGATTTTAATACTGAAAGAAACTAGTCTGACGCTCAATGGAAATTGGGTGTATCATAAAATCTAATGTAGAAAATTAACCCTTTCATGCATAGTGGCCACTACAGTGAACAGCTGTCTAAAAGCCATTTTCTTGTGCTTCTTGTGGATTTTTATGTTATAAATGCACACAGACCACTAAAGTGGACACTAATCCATCATAAAATACACTATCAACTTACTGGCCATCAACTGCAAATGCAAGAAATTAATTTTGTTAAATCCAATATGGCCGACAGACAAAAAAGCACGCCGACCGACCCGGTCCCTCCTACTGCAGACAGGTAAAAAGAAAAATATTGTGACATCAGATAACCCCTAAAGAGCAATACTACTGATGTATTTGGAGAACATTACAATTGATCACCTAAAAAAAAATAAAATAAATGTTTTTTTTGTTTTCTTTCTTACAAAATTTCTTTTCCTACCTTTTTTATGCCTTAAGAAAATACAAAATAAATTGAAAAAAACAAATCTTGACACAAAGGATCATAATTCATGCATGACAGGGTTAAATGTGCACCTGAGGTCTGAATATTTGTACACTCTCAGATGACCTAACTATGATGTGTGCTGTTATGTAGTGGTTCAAAAAGCTGGCCACAAGATGGTTTGTTTTAAATGGAAATCAGAAGGGCTTGAATTTAGATAGAAACTGGCAAAGGGCGTTTGTTTCTCTAAAAATAGGTCAGTAGAGGTTGACCTTCTTTAGAGTTTCTCGGTCATTTAACGTTTTTGTTTTTCCACACAGTTACAAGTGTTGTCGGTGGAGATTTGAGTTTGAACCATGAATGATCCGAGGAAAGACCTCCTTGCTGTAATTATGCGATGGGTGGAAAGGAAAACCGACCCGAAGTTCATTAGTGACGGACACAAACGGCTGCAGCTCCATCTTTAATTGCATGCAGCCGTCCGTGATGTAATAAGGGACTGAAATGAAAAAGAGATGATGGATTAACAGAGATTAAGAATTAGGAGCGACACAGTTGGATGAATTGTGGCAGATGATCCATAGGAGACCCCTCCTCTCCCCGCCCCCATATCACCACCATCTCCATCGTCTCCCATGGTTTCGACCCCTTTCCGCTCTCCCCTTCCACCTCCCGTTGACTTTCTGCTCCTTTCCCATCCTTCTACTCTCTCTCAGACACGTTCTCCTCTTCTCACCCCGGAGAGTTCTGCACTCTTCTCTCTTTTGATTTTCTATTAGAGCAACAAAACGAGCCGGAGAACGAGCGGGAGGCGGTCCGAGGAGAGTAATTTCCTTGAGAGAGGAAAGGAGACTGACATGTGTTGATGCTCGTTTTCTCTCTCCTCTAAACTTCCCAGCCACTTTCAGATCGCCTCCTTTCCCTCTCCCTGCTCCAGGCCTCGTTTGTCTCTTCCTCTTTCTCTCTGTCACTCTGTCTATTTTGGGTCTCCGGGCCCCCCCCCCCCCACCACCACCACCAACCCCCCATCTCCCTCCTCCCACTTTTCCTGCGTTCATCTCCTCGCTTTTCTTCTGCTCGGCTCTTTTCCTCTCGTCTCTTGCGCAACATTAGGTCAAAACCTTGTGTCCTTTCACATCCCTTCCTCCCGTTTCCTCCCGGCCTGTCCCGTCCCCGTTCTGCTGTCTTTTGATTAAAGTGGAATGTGGAGTAGCTGTGGATGGGGCAGACTACTGTTTGGACTTGCCCTAGTGGATGTGTGACTTGATGAGTAGCGTGATTCCAAGCTAAGGAGTCAGTTTCTTAGGGAGCTCTTTTTTTTAAGCTCCCTTATTTCTTCTTATCTACCTCATCTCGTCTTTTACCTTTCAACCTCTCCACCCTTCTCCAGCTTCCTCTCTGCGTTCATTTCACTTCTCATAACTGAGATGGAAAAGACTGGTAGCCCCTGGTCAGACAGTCCGTCTCGCTTACGCTCATAAACTTACCCCCCAGTGGCCTGCATGTCGGTGAGTGTGTGTGCGCCGTACGTCGGCGTGTTTAGTTACCCTCTTCTTTCTCGCACTGAAATGCCCACCAGCAGATTTCGGTGCGAGTGCGTCCCAGATATTTGGACTTGTCCATCCAGTCTCCAGCCTAGCCTTAAACCACCCGCCTCCCCCCCCAGCCCCCCCGGCCCTCTTAGCTGCTCCCACACAATAACCGGAAAAAGGCAGAGCTCCATTATACAAACAGCGAGGGACAACGAGGGAAAATAGCAGCACTCTCCCTCCTCAGCATCAAGCTGTTGATCTGGGGAATAATCACAGGGAGAGGAGATCTGAGAGCAGATAACGCTATAATGTGCTGCATGTGTTTGCTAGATTGCACGATGCAGCACCCAAACATACAGATTTCACTGTTGTTTAAACCGTGCATCAGATCCAGAGAAAACCGTCAACAGACCTCTATGATTTCACCCCCTGCCCTTCATTTTTAGTCTCCAGCTCTTTGCACCTATGGAGTAAAGAAAAACGTCTCAATGTGGGGAGAAAAGGACAATAACGTCCCAGCTCTTCAAATTGTATCTTAATATGTTTTTGAAATATACTCATGAATGTAAATATTTGTAATTGTGCAATAAGCAATATAATGTCTAGCTTATACGTTTTCAACAGTGGATGTATTCTGATTAGAGGTGCTCCAATTCTTTCTTTGAGGCTTGAATTGTTGATTTCCATTTTGCCCAACTTTGTTTTCTTAACTTTTTTTTTTTCTAATAAGGTTCCCTTTCAGATGGTTCTTAAACTATGTATAAAATCCCAAACAATTCGCTAAATCTAAACTTGAAGTGCAATATTTTGTACTATGGAGTAAAGAAAAATGCCTTTTTCTAGCATATTAAATAAAACAAAGGTATTTTTTCTGTTTTGACTTCTAAACAAAATCCCAGCCATTACAAATATTAAGCCCAGTTCTGAGTCACCATACTAGCACTAAGTACTTCACTATCTTATTTTTAGGAATTCCTATGTGTCAGTTCTGAATTATGAAACCTAAATAATGTCTTCAACTCTCACAACATTCTCTACATTTCTGGCCTATTAAAAACAAGTTCTGCACAGAGCAGTGCACAGAAATGGGGGGGGGAAAAAAAAAACTTGCAGAAGACCTAAAAAGGTCAAAAGTTGATGCCCTGGCAAGCAAACCCATCACAAGGAGGTGAAAGTGGCACATCGCTCATTTTCAGTGGGAGTGGGAGGCCACAAGGTCTGACTGGGCACACACATTTAATACATTTACCTTCTGGACTACAGATACGACTAATAAGATATTGAATAAATGTTGACTGTATGCACACTGTTGAATGTCATGAATTACTTGCGTTTCACCTTACCAGTATTTTTGTAAGTTAAAGCAGAAGTCTGTCGTAGCAATAACATATGGCAGTACGACTTTTTCTCAAACGTCCAACGGCATTCAATTGCTCTCATGAACTTTTATGTTATCACAATAGCCCGCCATTTATTCATAGTCCGTGTAATCCTTGTAAATGTGCCAAACATTTATCTAAAATCAATACAGCACCATTAATGTTAGAATATTCTTCATTCGTAAGCGAAAAACAATTTATGATGGATATAAAATGTGTCCAGCAGAAGGTGAAGGTTAAACATATATCATTAGTCTTTAATAAAAGATAGATAACAGTAGCTATGTAAATACATAACTCCTAAATAGTTTTTTTTTTTTTCCGCCAGGCTTGCACTGGTTTGCATCTGTGAGTCAAACTGGGATCTGTTGCTAATCCCAACAGCCCCACTTCTGCATTTTACAGCAGGACTAGCTCAAATTTTGTTCTTCGTTCCGTCCTCAGCCAAACTCTTTGCCGCCATTATGTATTTCAAAATTATCTGGAAAATGTTCTCACTGGACAAGCATTTAAAAGAGCAAGACCCATTACGATGTGTGCCATGTCCGGTTGCATGATATCAGGAAAACATGCGAGTGTAACGTTGCGTCTCCACAGGCCACTAAAATCTATATTAGGTGTTGGCATCAAGGGCAGTGAGAGTTCATCCCTCCGACTGGATGGTTATAATATTCAAGCTCCAAACCTGAACGCACGGAATTGAAACATAATAGGTTACCGAATGTCGCATCCAAGCGGTCGTTAGTGATTTTGATATTCCGCGTGTTAATATTGTGATAATGATTGCAATTTGATCTCTTGTGCAGTCACATTTGATTGCCTGGCTTTTGAAAGCATCGGGTCAAATTACAGGCCGGCCTCAAGGCGAATCCGATGCCCTCCGTTCGTCTGCAGCACTTCTCGTGAAGGACGACTCCTTAGAAAGAGTTCCTGTCTCTCTGATTCAGGATATTCAGTTCCCCGCTTGTCATCTATGCAGCCCAATTCATACTTCACATTCCACCTTATTGTAAAGTAAATAAAATCTAAGCAATTTTTGTAGAGGTTTCTTAGCTTCAATTTCCCGGTTCTGCGATTTTACTTGCATAACTCACTGAAATTTTTATAACATTCAAAGTAAAACTTTCGTGTCAGTTTTGTACATTATACCAGAATCACATTAAAAGCGTGCGTTGATATGTGAATGATCAATTTAAATTATATGAACCAATACGTCATATATATTTGTATGCTCATTGATATGTGTTCATTTATGTAACTACATTTATTTTGAGTTGTTCTTTTTTGTTGTTTTTTTTACAGTGCCTAAAGAAGCCCCTCAGTGAGTCCATTACTGTTCTATACAAATAAATATATATATATATATATATATTTTTATGTGGTTTTGCATAAGACCATAACTTAGCAGCTCCAACACAATGGGATAAGATTTACATTTTTAAACATGTCACAGCTGGCTTAATAGTGTGTACACTTCCACTTTTGTCGTTTCACGTCCGCCACAATAAACCCGCTCCGATTTTCTTTCATTGCCGGCTGCCGTTTGATGTGCGCGATTTTCGACTTCAGCTCAGGTGTAAATGTTGATGCCAGGCTGCCGATGGCTTGCAGCCAGTCGGGTCGGGAGGGAGGACGCTCGGCAGGAAGGACAGAGTGACATAGCCACAGGAGAGGCCGGGCTGTGAGAGCAGACATGGCCAAATAAGGCCATTTAAATGACTCACGAGCCGCGCAGACACTCGGATGCAGCGACATTCAGATTCGGAGGCATTCTGACTCGGAAACAGTCCCACAGACGCATCCGTGCGCTCGCAGCGGGTCCTTAAGGTCAGCGCAGATCCCTGCTCTCTAATCAGAGACGAGAAAGATGTCCACATCACAAAACCGCAGCTTCTCGAAATAGTCCTTTCATCTCCCTCTCCCTCTCTCTCTCCTCTCTGACGGCTTTTCCTTTCCCTCCCACCCAAAAGCGAGCCCCGGCAACGACGTGACGAAACACCCGTGTCATTTCTTTTGACAGGGACGGCCACACACACACACACACACACACAAGATTCACCCTTTTCTTTTTCTTTTTTTTTTTTTTTGCTCCTATCTAAACTGAAGTCTGTGATGGTGTAAGCTGGGCCACTTTGATCTTTCTATATTCATCACGTTAGGCTTAGCCAGGATACTTGAACAGGGAGAGAATATTCAGGCAAATCCAGCATCATAAAACGACATTTCTCTTAACCGCTATGTGCAAACGTACATTTAGATCCATCTCTGTGGCCTACAGCTGCTCATTTCCCTGCCTGCTGTATCCACCCTAATTGACAGCTTACACAGCTTGACATCAGTGTATACGGTTGTAGTGCCATACTGGAGAGCAGAGGAAGCGGCTCTTAATTCTGCTTCCTGCTTGCAGCCCAGTGATGTTGCCATGTGTTTACCGAGCACATCCAGCCTCGGCGGGCCTGCGTTGCGTTAAGGAGCCGTTTGTGAGCGGTGGCATGCTCAGACAGGAGCGGCTTTGCTGAAACCCGTTTACATTCCTGGCATAAACAGCAGAGGAGTAAGCAGCGCTTCCCAACACCACGTTCTTGAACAGATGATTTGTCGGTAAACCGCGGGGCCGCCGTTGAACTCTGCAGTGACGTACGCGTTGACTCGCAGGAAGGCGTGCGACTTTGCTCGAGTGCGAGACGCGCGCACACAGGTGATCAAGGTACGGGAGGAGAGTGAGCAGAGGGGAGGGAGAGCTTCAGCTGGGTACAAAGGGGCACGCAGATATAAACACAGACGGGAACAGAGTCGCTGCTGATAGTGAGGGCAGACGCACAAGATGTGGGACAGATAAAAATCAGGTGTTCCTGCTTTTTATGTGTTTTATCACCGCCTGCGTTTACCTTAAAAGACAAGCAGGTGCTCAGCTGATAATTCTCAGTGCAGGTGGTGGTTCTTGGGTTGGTTGGCTCCATTATGAATCAAATGCACTTTATTTTAATTATGAATTACAATTAAATATTTACCAACTTCTTCATATGTGCTGCAGTGTGTACCATTTCTTATGCCGAATTGATTAAAAATGTAAAGTCCAGGCAATTATTATTATTATTATTATTATTATTATTATTACTACTATCATTATTATTATTTTCTTTTTTTCAAAATATTCTCTTAAGGTGGATATTTTCATCGGGTGAAACCAGATATTTACTTAAACCGAATACATATTCCTGCAAAATGCTGCTAAACTGTCCCAGTTTATGTTCAGTTATGGTTACAAAAACTATTTCTTATTATTTAATAACAGACATTTTTGAGATATGTTTTTTTTTTTTTTTCCAGCCAATCGTACAGTTTAAACTGTACGACTTGGATAGGTTTTGGGTATCCTTCTATGAGCCTCCCACAATACTTTGCTGCATATTTGACCCATTCCTCCTGACTGAACCGATGTAATTCACTCAGGTTTTGCCAATTTAGTTCTTCCCAGAAATTTTCCAGGGAGGCTGATGTCCGGACTTTGTGATGGCTACCAGAACATTGACTGTTGTTTTTAAGCCACTTTGCAGCTCTTAAGCTCTTAGGATGCTGCTTCAATCTTTCCACATAATGGTCATACCTAATGATGCCATATTTTCTTGATGCTATTTTTGCCAGATGTTAGTTTTTATCAGACAACAGGACATGTCTTCAGAAATGAAGGTCTTCGTTTCCGTGTGTTTGCAAACTTTTTGTTGCTTCGTCTTTTCTGAGTGGCAATTCAGGCAACATGGGTCAGGTTCTACGACAAAAAAAAACAAAAATCTGAGATGGGCCTTTAAGTCAGGACTAAAAACATCATTGTTTACTGAAGCTTTGCAGTAAAGGCAATATCTTTTTCACCTGTATCATGTTTTAGCCATGTTTGTTGTAATACTCCATTTTCACCACTTAGTCTTTAAATTATATTTTTACTTTCCTTCTGGGAAAGCACTTGGAGTTGCAGTGTTTACAAATGACATTAGTTTATGCATTCCTTGACAATTTAACACAAATACAATTTCAAAATGGTCAGTAAGAAAATGTAAAATATCCGTGTTATCCTGAATAGTCGCTGTTGGTGGGGGGGGGGGAGGGGGGACGGCGGTGCGTGAGCCGTGTCATCTTCAATGAAGTCTTAAAGCTCTCGTCTCCACTGAGCTCCTCCTAACTGTCTTAGCCGTCTAAGCTGTGCATGTAGCCAAAAAGCTGTTCATCTGGTCTCTAATCCTCCCCATCTTCCTCCTCCTTATCATCACCCTCTCTCCTTTTCTCTTCTGCCTTCTCTGGTATTTCCTCCTGCTGTTTCTATGTTGCCGCTTCTTTATTTCTAAAGCTCCGATGGTAAAGCAATGTCCCATCTAACTGTACTTGCACCTCGACTGTCGTGCGTTCTGGATCTGTTCTCACATTACCATTGACCACAAAAGTCAATAGAATAATGACCAGTCTTGGTGATATCATGCAGTGACGACGCAGAAAAGGACGTTCTCCCCCCTCCGTCTTTTCTCTCAAAATTTGTCAAAACGCGAATGAAAGGAATGTGCTTGACGTTTCATCTCTGGGTAACTCCTCATAAATATATGTAATGGTTAATTCCCCCTCCTTTAATCATGCCAACTCTTCTGTTCTCAGACGAATACAAGATGAAGGGAGTGGAAGAGGTGAAGTACATGAGAGGCGATGAAAACCGGGTGAACACACGCAACCAGGAGAACCTGGTGAGAGATGGGCACACACGCACACACACACACACACACACACACACACAAAACACAGCAGCCAGTCCACTGACAGCCTGTCATCCGCACACACTCAAACCTTCCTCTGACAGCTCATCAGCTTCAGCCAACAGTCCTGCGTTTGTGTCCAAAGGCAGCTCTCTCTCTGTCTGTGTGCAACACACACACACACACACACACATGCACACACCCACACACGCACTGTTTTTGCACAAGCACACACACAAAAATACACAGAGGCAACCAGAAAGGTTCCTCACAAGCAGGTGGAGACAACAGTCTGGCGTGTGTGGAATGTGTAGGCTGAGCGCATGGTTGGTTTCCAGTCCGCCGCTGCAGAAATCTTTAGGTTTTAAACACATCAGGGGGAGTTTTACGAAGTCACTTTGCTCTGAAATCTCATAAATGATTTTACTGCCACTATGTCTTACCTGACGGTGTAAATAATTAATAAGCTGAGGCACATTATCTCTCTGAATAAAACCACTTCCTCCTCAGGTCACAGAAGGCCTGAGTGTTACAACGGTGAGAGAATACAAGAACAGGTTTTCTTTTTTTCCCTGCAAGTGGACATTGTGGCATCCTGGCAGTTGTTAAAACGGCGAGCGGCATAATAAATCCCGACTGTAAAACAGCAGCGGGATAACGCTACAGAAACACAGTTTCATAAAAACACAAGGTTAAAAGCGGAAGACGAGCTTCAACACTGTTATTATGCTGCCTCAAAGGTACGCTCAGTTCATTCATTTAATTGATTTGATTTACAAAAGTCAAACTTTTCCAAGACTTGCTGAAAGCATGTTCTTGCAACCTTCAAAAGTCCCTTTTCTTTTTTGTTTTTAACTGGAGTGTAATTTGTTGTTCCAAAAGCATATTTTATTCTTATAGGAGTGAACAAACAGCACCATGAAGACTAAGGAGTGAAGTTGTTTGACATAACTCATGGAGCACTGTTCTAACATCTCAAAATGAAAAGGGAGTGGCCACAACTGCAGACCTATCATGTTTTTGTGTGCAGTTACCAAGAGCTGTAGATTTGCTAACTTTGGAGGAGCTGCAGAGATCCTTAGGTTGGGAAACTTTGGTCCCTTCAATTGCAGTGGTGCAAAGGAATCGACTCATATTTATGTGTTCAAATAGCCTAGCTAAAGTACAGACCTACATCCCAGTAGGGATTTGTGGCATGGCAAGTTTTGAAAATTTCTCCCGCAGCAAAATGAAAGGGGATAAATACACACAGCACACATTTCAGATTTTTGCTTGCACGTTTTCTTCTTTTAATTGATACATGATTTTCGCTCCACAGACAGCCCTGTGTTGGTCTATCACCTTAAAAGCGGCAACATTTGAAAGTTACAATAGAGACAATGTCGCAATAAAGAAAAGCCAAACGTTGTATCTTCTAAACCTTTCTGTGTTGTCAACACTGCAGAAACATTGACTAGATCTGACCTTGACCAGCGCTGATAAACGGGTTTATTAGATGCTCATATACATTATGTCCGTGACCCATGTCCTGCAGCAACTGGGCGAGGGCGCAATTCAGTCATTCAGGTTTTTGATTTGTCAGCAGCGCGGCCGCTCTGCAGATGCCCGTCGTCGTGGTGGTGTTTGGAACCTGTTCGGTCTGCTGGTAATGAAAACTAATGGCATCTACGCGTGTTTGTTCTCAGGAGAAGAGCAACGTGGAGTACAGAGGCAAACAGCAGAAAGAGGCGGCTGCAACGAACATCAAATCTAAGTAAGTGGAACGGCAGCAGCCCTTAGAGCTGCTTCAGAGATGCTTTGTTAAATAAACTGGATACGTTTACATATTCGATCACGGTGAGTGATGGATTAAAGGAAAAAACAGCATAAATTATCACAGGAAGAAGCTGTCCTGCTGTGTGATGCCAACATGATGGCTGAAGCATCCAGGTTTTTATTTATTATACTTCTGAGGGGCCTGTGGAGTGTAAGCAGCATTCAGACAACTCTGTTAAAGGGGTATTTCACTCATATGGAATATCATGATATTACAAAGTAATTGGGTGTTTTTAAGTGAAAGTTTTTTTTTTTTTTTTTTTTTTTTTTTTACAAAAAATTGTTGTGGAAAAGATAATACAGTATGTCTGCATACATTTTAGACTTCACGTCATATTCCATTGTTTTGAAGTTGAATCAATCTCTAATCTTTGTCCATTATCTGTCTGTCAATCCATGCATACATTAATGCGAACCTCTATGTATGCTAACCTACATACATGCATGCATTGGTACACATATCCTTATCCTTAGTTCTTCCATCTGAACCGCTGCTGATTGTAGAAATACATACCACAAAGTTAAAAATAAAGGTTAACTTTTGTACCTTGGAGTTTGGGAAATTATGGGATAACATGAATCTTGTCAAATGCAACAATGATCCCATGTTTTAATTAAATTAGGTCAAATAATTTTAGGTATTTTATTGTTGTCAATATTTTAGCTTAATAAAATTTCTCTCCCTCTACGAGAACATTTCAGGCTGAGATGTTTGGAATAGTTTACATCTTTTGCCAGTCTTAAGACGCAAGAGTAGCTGAAGTTGTTGACAGAAGTTGAGCGCATTCATTGGTTCATTACCGGGCCGCGCTGACCCTTTTATTAAACTGTCGCCTCCTTCACAGCGTGACTCCTGTAAGTAAACAATCCGAAGCGTCTGGCTTTTGTACAGCGGCTTGGCCGTCTACCTCAGGCTCCGTATGAATAATGGCAGCTACGTGTTGCACTCTTTCTCCTTTCAAGGACCGTTTTGATATTTTTTTTTGTATTGAATTATTATTTAAAATCATTTGTGGACTCCTAAACAGACAATTTCTCACACTGCAGAGAGTGTTCATCTGTGTTTGTTCCCTGTGGGGGGCGGGTTAGGGAGATGTGTAATGGAAAATTCTCATGATGTATTTGTTGCCTCCTCCTCCTCATCTCCATCTTCTGACTTCCTCTCCCTCCCTTTCTCCGTCTCCCTCAGCATTCACACGTCAGAGAGCCAGCAGGAATTTTTCAGGATGCTGGATGAGAAAATTGAAAAGGTGAGGCCTGTGTGTGTGTGTGTATGTGTGTGTGTGTCTTCATTAGTGGAAGTAGAAAATACATTTAACATCGTTTAAAAAGTCACAGCTGGGACAAAATTCTAAAGAAAGGAAGACGTTTATTAGTCCACGTTGTCGTTCTTGGTACAAGCTGAAGCAGAAGGAAAGGTAATCACTGCAGTTTATCAACACTTGTTCCTTTTTGCCCGCGACTTGAATGACACGGTCACACACGGTGGAACAAGTAATGACTCATTTTTATTTTTAATCCCTGCTTTGAATCACTTTTATGCTTGCAGCCAAATATAAAGAGATTCACATCATTTCTTGCGAGATGAGAATCACATCGTCAAACGGTAAAGGTTGTGCACACGTCTCAAAGGTCCCACATTCTCTACGGTTGAAACCAGATGTTTACATACACCATTAAACATTAAACCTTTTTTTTTTTTTTTTTTTTTTTCACTGTTTGATTCACATGCCGTTCACACTAACTGTTTGAGCAAACGAACATGGACTCTTTATCTGGAAATTGTCCCCACAGACGAACAAAACTCAGATAATTCAAGATGTCCATCTCTTCCAGATATCTTGAATTTTTTTCCCATGAAGCTGTGAATTTGGATGGTAGTAAAAGAGCGACTCTATAGTAATAAAAGGTATTCCTGGATGACCCAAAATAAGAGACATTAAGTTTGACAGTGAAGGAAAAGGTTATGGTTTTTAATACAGTGTATATAAAAATCTGGTTTCAACATTTGAACAAAGTTATTTTGTGCAAATGCAGCTCTTCCCCTACAAAGACTAGCTGATCGACTCAGCAGTTCTCCTCCGCTTCACAAAGAGCTTGAAGCATACCTTATTATGCAATAAGGCTTTTTTTTCCCCTTTTTGCTTCACTTTCTTGTATTATGAAAAAGTTCTGCAAAGTTTAAAGTCCCCTCTTCAGTAGTTATTTTCTCAGCGGAGACGGGGCTTTAACGCAATATGAGTGTGAGATTCGTCTGCACAAAATGAGATGCTTCTCTCCAATCTGTGTTTCTGCATAGGTTTATAAAAACCTAGAAACTTTGCCAAAAATCCAGCCACTGATGTGACCAAAACACTGTTATGCTGTTTTCTACGCCATTCTTTTAAAGCAAATATATATTATTTAAATGCAACGTCTGAATGAATGGTGTTTGAAACTTTATGGTCTATACACTGTAATTTAGTTTTTTCACACATAAATATTTGCGATGACAAATGTGATTCGATACATCGTGCAGCTTTAATAGAGAATACGGAGCCAGCCACATTTATCAGTACCCCTAGAAAAAAAAATTATGTAAAAACCATTGGAAGAGTTGCAGCAGATTTGTATATTTTATAGGAACATTTGTAAAAGATTAAAACAGCAGATTTTTACAAATTAGTTAAAATGGCTATCGATGCTGCTTGTGCTGCCATTACCTCCCTTTTAGTCAACTTCGTAATCATTCATGTGAACTCATCCAATTGGCAATACAAGTCTAACACTCAAATATTTTATTTGAGTTAGTCGAGGGGTCAGAAGCTGAAATAGAGTCCAGATCTTTTTATTATGCTCTTTTCTTTTCAAATCTCCAGACCTAAAAGGTTGTTTTGTCCATAGGATTTCAGTTTTGGATCTCTGGAGTGAGATGGCCATGGAAGAAGGTTGTTTATGTACCTGGTGAAGCATTGTTCCCGCCATATGTTTTGGATCGTTGTCCTCCTAAAACAATCCAATGATTAAAAAAAAAAAAAACCTTGACTTTTTATAACATAGGACTATGTTGCTGGATTGAAAGAAATACAAAATCAAGGGCTTTTTTACACATCTTGACCAGGGGTGAAAGTAAATGTGGCTGTCACTATATTACCTCGATCATAAAAAACATTTACTGCACAAGGAAATAAACATCTCCGCACACCCGAGGAGCATAAAAGCCCTTCAAGGTTTATCTTTGATCACAAGGATGATATTTTGTCATTTATTGTGGCAAGCGCAAGTGCGCATCAGTCGACGGCGTCCCAACAATCTACTCGTTGTCATACGACAATTGGCTGAGTGTCAGGTGTGTCTGGAAGGAATCTAAAACAACCCATCTTATCGCCGACAAATCAAGATCAAATAAAACAATGTAGGAACTGTTGACTAACAGCACAGACGAATGTAGCCTTGGGTAATCTTAATACTTTCGACTCTGCTTTACGTCACCACAGTAAGATCATTGTCCGAGCTGGTGTGTTGTTGCCAGCCAGGCAACAACACACCACATTTTAGCTGGTTTCTGTTATTTGAGACTGTAGCAACATTAGGTGAGAAGCACCAGGGCAAGCCTGCAGGCAGCCTGCTCAGCTGGTTTTTATCTTTGACTTTCAGCTCACAGATCACATCTGAGTTGTCACGTCGAGCCTGAAAACCCATAAGCCTTTGTGGCTTTTCCAAATCGGCAAATGTGCCGCGCGTGCATTTTAAACAGAAAGGTGTAAAATAAAGTAATATTGGACAATAATAAAATAAAAATAAAAATCATCTGTTCACAATTAGGTGACCCGAACGCCACATCAGTTTGCCAGGAACGACAAAGGGGACAAGTTTTATCTTTTACGTTGGACAGAAAGCCGTGGACAGAAATTGCGCCGTGAAAATCTTGCAGGCAGCGGCTTTGTTTATGACGCAGCAGCCTCCTCCGAGCTGAAACCCGGCGCCGTTCGGGAAGAGAGAGACGAGGCTGTCGGGGACGCTTTGAAGAGAGCAGCGCAGCCGTCAGCTCCTCACCTTCATGAAAGGAACCAAACGGCAGAACAAGCCACCTGTCAGCACTTCGCTATCTCATTCAGCATCTCATGCTCCGGCGATAGATGTTTATTTGAATGCGACTGAAGTAACAGGTGCAGACCGTTCAGAGTCATTAAACTCGAGGTATTCACCCTCTATTCCATCTGCTTGGCTGTGTTTTCAGGGGCGAGACTACTGTTCGGAGGAGGAGGAGGAAGACGGGACATAGCCCCCCGGCCCCCCCGGCCTCGCCCCCCCCCCCCTCTGTCTCCCCCCCCAACGGACAACCTCGTCAAGTGTGTGTGTGTGTGTGTGAAACCGGTAGCGTGTGTTTGTGTGCCTGAAAGTGAAAGAGTTATCAGTGTTTTACAGTGTGACGGGACACTATTGGTGTGGGGGGGGTGGGGGGGGGGGGTTCTGGGCGTATGGCAGTGATACTTTAAGTGCAAAACAAAAGAGAATGGGACAAAGACAAGCTTCGTCACGGACTATGGCACTCGGCACCTCATATCCCTTCAGGCTGAGGGAGAGACGACGGAGAGATCGTCGTCGGACCCGTCGGGTCAAGCAGATATTTCCTTCACCAGTCCGTCCTCATCTGTCCGTGTCCTCCTCTGTGGCCTGACCCTAAAATATATAAACCCTGGCAGCCGGGACTCCTGGGTGTTGATATCCGTCGAAGATTAGAGTCGTCGTCGGTGTGTTGAGGGACTGGAAAAAAACACGGAGTAGAGAAAATGGAGCCCAAGGGAGAAGAGGACGGTGGTGGATCTTTGCTGAACTTTATAGCCTGACTACCTTCAGTCGGGCTCGCCTTGTCCAGGATGGACTGAAAGGGTGAGGGTGGGAGATGCTAGAGGGAGAAATATGGGATATTTTAATATGAGAGAGTATGGAGGGAGCTGGTAGTTTAGAATCTCCTAAACTACTCCTTCCTTTTTAAGTCAAGGACCTGTTTTATTTTTGTTTTGTTTTTATTTTTGTTTTCATTGTATGCCACAGCCACTTATTCAGTTAAATTTGTCTTTTTTTTTTTTTTTTAAATGTTTGTTTCCAGCCATTTTTGTTCCTGACGTCCACCATAGTATGTCATTATCGTCAGCAAAATGAAGCTCCAAAATTGAGTCTGTGTCTTGGCGCAATCACTCCTCCTTTATACGAATCCTCTCTCTTACACACACAAAAACACACAAAAGAATTTTATTTAATAAAGAGAAATGCATTTGCCTTATTTCAGTGTGGAAGACAGCTGTTCTTATACACACTCCACATACACACACTACAATATTGTATTTGTTTCACCAGCAGATTATCATGTGCATAAATCAGAGGTACCCATAGAGCTTATTTCTGATCTAGTCAGTATTCACACACTTTCACACCCCTTCATGAACATTGCAGCGGCAATAATTTTGAGGAACTTAAAGGGAGAATTTGTGGTTGTTGTTGAAACACAGATCTGTTTTTTTTTTATTATTATTATTTTTAACCATCTTTACTGGACACATCCTGTTGTATTATTTTTGAATACGTTTTTTTCTATTAAAGATAAAAAATGTAGGCACTCTGAATGGTGTCTTTATTTATGTTTTTTTTTCATACCTACAGCGAACTGAAAAGTGTGAAGTCACTTTTCCAGACGTGTGACGTGAAAAGGAGTGTGTTAAAGCTGCAAGGCTGTGTAATACCCCCTGCTGGTGAAATATCGACACTGCATCCCAGTACGGGTATGATGATCAGAGGCGGACGTGGTCAGCAGCAACACTGTGGTAGCATGTAAATGTTAAATGTTGCTCGGTTCATGCGAAGAGACCCGAAAATAAATATCCTCCAGTCCACAGCATTACGCCACCAGCAAAAACCTGAAGTGCAGCTGAAATCAAGGCTGGATAAGGCAGTGTTTGTTTTTTTGGCTGGGTTTTTTGTCCTTATATCTAGGGAGACAAAATATTGCACCTTAATTAAAATCCAAATGATCTTTTAAGTACTGAAAGCAAATGTTTTGATTTTAGCTACGTTTTCTTTCTTTTTCCATCGACTACGTGACTGTTCTCTGAAGAATGTTGTTTTGTTTGCTTAGGTCACTTCACTCTGGAAAATCAACAATATAATAATGCTTATCATTTACAATAATGCCACCTTTTCTAACAACTGGTTGGTTTCTGTTAAATTACCTATTTAAAGGCATATTTTCCAGTTCAAAACAATGTCATGAAGATAAAATTGCAACAGGGATTCCCCGCCTGACCCTTCAAATATTTTAGGCATTTGCCTGAGCATTGCCACTTTTGGCTTCATAATGTAGTGCACCAAAAACAAGAATCCAATATTCTATTATTTTTGAGTTTGGTCAAAGTCTGAATCAATCAATCAATCAATCAATCAATCAAATTTTATTTTTATAGCACATTTCAGCAGCAAGGCATTTCAAAGTGCTTTACATAATTAAAATAAAAACAGCATGTGACATTGAATAAACAGTGAGAAAGAGAAAGACATTTTGAGAGAAAAAAAAAAGATTAAGAAAGATAAAAACATTAAAACCCTCGCCCCTTTTAGGACTTCAGTTAAACGTTTAACTGAGACTCTAACCCTCTGCGAATTTAGTCAAAAACACCGTTTGACAAGGACTCCAACCTCTAGGTTTTTTGGACTTTAGTCAAAACGCCATTTGACAAGGACTCTAACCTTTAGAACTTTAGCAATTTTAAAATTCACTTACGTTTCTGTCGTTATCGTGCTAGTTAAAATGCCGTCAACTGGGACTCTAAACCCCGTAGGACTTTAGTTAAACGTCGTTTAACTGGGACATTTTCCGGGGGGCTTTACATCATTAAAACGTAGACAGTGAGAAAGAGAAATGAAAAGAAATTAATAAATAGGTAAAAACTAAAGATAAAAACATTAAAAACATCGAAGACATCAAAACCCGCACTCTAACCCTAATTTAGTCATAAGCAACTCTAAACAGGTGGGTTTTAAGTTGAGATTTAAAGGCACCCAGTGTTTCAGCTGTTTTACAGTTTTCTGGAAGTTTGTTCCAAATTTGTGGTGCGTAGAAACTAAATCCTGCTTCTCCTCGTTTGTTTCTGGTTCTGGGGATGCAGAGCAGACCAGAACCAGAAGACCTGAGGGGTCTAGACGGTTGGTACACCAATAACAGATTTTTAATGTATTGTGGTGCTAAACCGTTCAGTGATTTATAAACTAACAGTATTTTAAAGTCTATTCTTTGAGCTACAGGGAGCCAGTGTAGGGACTTTATGTTACGTGCTCTATCGTCCTGGATTTAGTTCTGTGGTACAGAAACCCAATTTCTGTACCACATTTTCTCCAACAAATGTTTGAACAGTTTAGGGATTTTTTTTTTCTCATACCATGTTGTAACCTTACATTTAAAGTCTGTTAATGTGAATTTGCTACCTACTGGGCAGTTGTACAAATTACTTCCCAGTTATCTGGTTGGATTTCTGTTTTAATGTTCAGCCTCCTATTGTGCTATTCAGTTTTAATGGCAAAAAATTGATTGTAAGGACGCCCAGCATTAACTATTGAATTGAATTTGATCCTGCAACTTTTGTTAAAATGAATGGTTAAAATATATATATATATTGATATTCATGTTTTTTTTTTATTGTTGGAACTATAGGTTCAAAAATGCAGCTTCATTGATTGAACGCTTTCATAATGGAGAAGTGATTTCTGTTTATAATTCTGTCGTCAACTGAGCCTTTTTTTACATACATATATACTATATATATAAATAGCCACATGATGTAGTGCTGTAAAACATATTGAAGTTCTGAATCGATATCTGCTCTGATGTTTAGCCCGACGTGCTCCCGGTGGGACCGGATCCCACAACGCTTTCAGCGGGTTGGAAAAGCCTGAAGTGTGTTTCTGTAATAGCTGCTCCCTGCTGCCTCTGTGCGACACACGACGCACACAAACTCTTTCTTTACCTCGCATGACTCACTGGCAGGGGGCATTTCGGGTTACGATCAGCAACCAGTGAGCGAATCAGAAAAAAGAGAAACGGGGTCCTTTCGTGGGCCGACCGGCGCTGGCAGTCGTGATCTCCCACACGGAGAAATATAAAAGTGCTGAAGGAGGGGGGGAGGCTGGAGCGAGAAATTAAGAGGAGGTGTTCGGAGGAGAGGGAGAGGAAGAGACGGATGTTGACCGTTAACCTCAGACAGGAATATGGGCAAGAAAATGTTCTTTCCACCCTGACGCAAGTACCAATAAAAAAAAAAAAAAAAGCTCTCTCCTCCCTGCTTTGTGAGTGCAATGTATGTGTGTGAGCGGAGAGCATTGGAAGAGGAACAACATGTTCTTGGCTGCTGTGTGTTTTAGGGGGCTAAGGTTTCAGGAATATTTGTGTGAAAATGGCTAAGAGTCGGTGTGACTGGCGTGTTCCGAGCAGCACACGTTTGACGAGCTAAGTTTTTATCAGCCTGTTATTTGATTTCATACAGTTTCATATTGAGTTTCTTGTGGGATGACGGCGTTACACGCCTTTCCAAGCCAATCTAATCACGATTGTTCAACCCTTGTCAAACTTGTCAAGCTTCGTGTTCAGATTTATGAACTGACGGTCTTCATATAGTGGAGCTGTAGTTCAGCGGACGGCATCCGCACCGGTTTTCTGTTCCAGCTGGAAGAGCACGACAGGCAGTCGACCATTGTAATCCTCGTCCACTGAATTTTCCCAACGCGTTCCTATAGTTGGTGTGCATTTCTGTACCTGTGAGCGGAATACACGAGAACGTCGAAATCGCAGCTAATTTCAGGTGATTATGTTTAAACGCACAATTACACGGTGTTCTGGAAACCCTTTGATGGGCCAGATAAAAACGTTACAAAAACACTTTAGACCAGCACCCCAAACGGGGATCTCACATCTTTCCTATTGAAACAAAGTGAGCGCCAGACAAAACAAGGCGGTGGGAAGACACTGTGTGATGTCATCGGATCAGAACAGCAGCTATGGCCTCCAGCAGGTCTGTGTGTGAATGCTCATTAAAGAGGAAACAGGTTAGAAGTAGTGAGCTTCCTTTGGCAAAGAAAACCAATCACTGCATGGTAACTTGACTGGCTGTTTTTTTGTTTTGTTTTTTTTTTTACAGAATTTAGCTTTTGCTCTCATTTGTTTTTTTTTTTCTATTTATAAAAGTGACAGAAAACATTCAGAATAAGTAGTTTTGTCCATACCATGGACAAAACTACTTTTGTCCATGGTATCATCACCATACTTTTTATGGTGACGATAGCATCACCATAAAAAGTACAGTTCGTTCAAGCAGTTTTGACTCAATCTTTACACTTAAAACCTGTCAAAATCTTCTTTTATTGTGCTTGAAAATAAATAGAAACCATAGATATTGCCTTTTTTCCAAATTAGGAGCACGGCAAAATTGAGTCCAAATGTGTATATGTGTGTGTGTGTGTGTGTGCAGGCAGACTTTGCCCACGTAGACATTATGAGTCAACTGTGAGAGGCACTGGCTGGCTTCCTGCCTGGATGCCCTGCAGGCCTTTTGCTCAGTGTCTCAGCTCTCCACAGCAGTTCCTGGCTCCCTAAAACCCGCTTTGGAATACCTACACTGGCTCTAAACCCACCTGGCTGCACAACCAGCTCCATTTTCCCCCTTGCTTGTCCTGTGAAATATTACCTCCCATCCTTTTACATTATTCCCTTACGTCAGCAGACTCTGCTCTTTCTTCCTCCTCCCATTTATGCAGCAGATCCATATTCTGGATTATATTCGCAGAGCAGCTCTTAAGAGGAGAAAGGGGGGGAATTACATACATTTAGATTCATGTTGCTCATCACCCACAGCAAGTGACCTACATAAAATGCAGGAAGCTAATTGTTGAACGTATCCGTGCAACATTAGGCACGGTGACCTAATGTCGCCATGTCAGCGTGAGGACTGAGCTGCGCTGGAATCCCCTGCATCGCTCCGCTGAGGGACCGACAGGACTGAAAACACTGGCAGTAAAAAGCCTGACCGCCTGAGTGACGGATGCTCGTGCACTTTTGTTTCTCACCAGCCTGCCAAGTTTACACGAGCTGACTAAGCAGTCGCAGTCTGGAGTTGTAGTTCGGAGGGGACTCTGTGTCAGGAGCAGGAGGTTTCTTACACAACACATGGGAAATCTGCTTCTTCTGAAGAATTGTTGTCTGTGCTTGCAGGTGTGTGTGTGTGTGTGTGTGTGTACATCAGGGGAGGCAACAAGGACAACACAAGAGCACCACCTGCTGGTCCAAGAGCGCCCTCAGAGGTCTGCCTGCATTGTCTATTACTAGCCTATGGGGGCATCAACCTGAGATGGATAACTGTGATGTGAAAGAGAAATTATTTATGGTTTGCATTTTTTGTTCATAAATAAATGAATGCAAAGTGTGCCATTAGCCTGGCAAAAACCAGCCCCTTGTTCTGCACTTCACTCTGTACAGAAAGTCTGTTGCCTCGGTTATTGAGAAACGATTGCATGCTGGAGGAGTGGAGTCTGTTAAAGGGGAACGACGTTATTTCACTATCCTATGGGGATAGGATATTTAGTGAGGCTTGCAGTTGCAAAATTTTTTTGTTGTGCTTCTTTTTTGTTGCATATGTCAAAAAGTTGCATTTTAGCATTATCTGACCGAAGAACATTCTTCCACATCTTTACTGTCCTTCCCTACATGGCTGAAAGGCTTTCTTCCCAGCAGTGGCTTGACACACTTCCATATTAGCTACATTTGTGAACTGTACAACTAACTTTTTGTTCTTTAGGTACTTCCACATGAGCAGAGGATCTCTGCAGACCCTCCAGAGTTACCAATGGTCCTTTTGGCAGCTTTCCTGGTTAGCGCTCTCTTGCTCTTGCAGTGTTGTCACCCTCCAATGTTTGGGCCTTTTCTCTGTGTTCATTATTGTTAGTAAGATGTTGCCATATAAGTTATTTCCTTTGTGTGTAGTTTCTCAGTGGTGTGGTGTTTTTAGTGCATTTAGATTCGGTACTCTGAAAGTTTTTTCCCAGTGGTTTCTAGTCTGCCGACTCTTCATACCACATATTTTCTGATTACTTCATCTGGTTCCTTTGTCTTTTCTTATCGCTTCCTCAGTATTTGCACGCCAGTTTTTTTGGGTTTTTTTACTGTTTATTGTTGGATTTTTTTCTGCTAACTGATGCTTTCTGAAGGTTGTTAGTTGCAGTGAATTTTTATTTTATGGTATCAGAATAACGGGGGCTAGGGTTAAAACTAAAAACATTTTGTAATTGCCTTTTCTCATAATAATGTTTTACTTTTCAATAGTGTATCATCTAAAATCCTAATCCAATACTCTGAAAATGTGGTTGGTTGTTTCTGCCTCACGGATGTAACAAAAAGCTTAAGTTAATCTTTCAAGGAATTACTTTTGTCGAAAATATCCACAACTTTAAGCTTCTTATACACAAACTGGAATACATATTTCTCCATTTAGTTTTTTTTTCCAGTGACACATTTTTGCATTTTCTGACCTTTTTCATAAAGGATTTACCCTACTATTAGAAGCCACAAGGGAGAAAGAGCTTGGTGATTTAAGCCCAGCCGTCTCTGAAACCACAGTTTACCCAACACAAAAACTTGGTACCTCTTGAAACATACATTTATCCCAAACATGACAAAAGCAAACGAGAGAGCTCTGCTGTGTCTGTCTGCTGCAGATCAGCTCTTAGGAAGACAAATGGCTACGTGTCAAAAACACAACCAAAATTACAAAGCAGATGTTCTGCTATGACAGAACAGGGAGTTTGAACCATCTGAAAAATGAAAAACCCAGCCTCGCTGCAGAGGGCTGACGCTGGGCCAGGAGGGTGAGGCTGTTTCTACACAGAGCTCAAAATGAAATGACTAACATGAGTTGGGACAAAAAAAGGGGGGGGGGGGCAGGGGGGGGGGAAATCTTGTTTTGGGGTTTCATTCAGAGGCGCTTACTTGTTGATGAAACACTGAACACACTCTCAGTTCTGTTTGACCAGAGCTTCAGCCAAAGAGGTTCGCTCTGTTAACATCCACCGGAGCGAGTCCCAGCATGGACAGCTTCCACCAGTCACAACTGCTCAGCCAGATGTCCTGCGTTTACCACAGTTACGTGAAGGAATAATAATAATAATAAAAAAAAAAACTGTGTGTTTCAAACACTTAAAGCTCAGAGTTGTTAGAACGCTCTTGGTGCAGGTGCTGCAGGATTGGGACGGCATGTTTTTGGTCATTCCCTCGATGTTTCTGTGCTTCAGACTGCTAATATCTTCGGGGAGGCACTAGGGGGAGCTGAGAGATTACCCTCGCTAAGGGCATTCAAAGACATGTCAGAATGCTGTCATTACCCTAGGGAAGGGAAAACATTGCAGATTGGCAGAGAGCCCAACTTAAATAAACACAATGAAGTCAAGACAGCAGCTAAAGTAAGCTAGCTTTGCCCGTCTGTCTGAGCCCGTTGTTGGGCTCCTATAATTAAAAGAGGTTGCTGGAAGGCAGCAGTAATCCTAAAAGAGGGAACACTATAATATTATAGTAATATGTTGAGCGTAGATGCCAAGTTTTGGAGCAGGAGATCCAAGTTTGGAGATAGAAAACTCCACCCACAGGTGGAAAAGTGAATTTCAGATTTTTTTATTTTTTTTGGGTGAAATGTCTGGGATGTTTCTGTTTTGTTGTGATATTAGTTAGACTTTTTTTTTAATTTAATTATTTTTATCTATTATTGAAAAAAATTTGTAACGCCTATGGCATTATGACATAGCTTTGAAAGCTCACATGGAAATATAGATCTCTGGAAGCAAATATGGAGAAGTAAGCTGTGGTTGGAAATTTTTCTGCCCATTTTGTGTTGCTGTGGTCCAAAAGCCGTCACTATTCTACTGGGCCAGCACTATTCGACTGGGCTAGTCGAATAGTGCCTGTCATTGTGATGATTTCATACTCTCCACTCATGCAACATTCAAAATGCTCAACAAAGTCAGGGTGTGGAGATGGAAAGAAATACTCCAGATGAGTAAAAGGACAATTAGTGAAAACAGGACAAAGGATACGCTTTACAGAAACAAAAAACAACAGGAAAAGAAACCAATAAAAGCCCTAAATGACAAAGCAACATGTTGTGACATTGTCCAAGAAAAACATCCTGTATATGCCTCCAATTGAAAGAGGAGTTTCCAAGTCCTAGTTGTTGTTTTTTTTTGTTGTTGTTGTTGTTTCACCAGTTTTGTGGCTTTAGTTTTTATAGTGGCAATTTGGATCTAGCATCCTACAAAGAACAGTCCGATGAAATTCAAATAATTGCAAGTTAATTCAAATTGCTTTAATCATAAAATCCTCATTTGCACTATTTCTACATCCTGGCACAAAGCTTGATTTATATGATCTAACGATTAGAAACTTTGAAGAAGAAGAAGATCAGATGATTTCAGAATCTGAATCTGGATAATTGCTAAGACTGTTGCCTAAATATCGTTAAATTGTGACACCGAGCAGCCACCAGTGCAGAGCTCAGGAATGGTAGCAGGTGTGATTGTTTCTGGAGGTGAGGGAGAGACTTTCAAAGGCTGGCTTGGTGTCAACAAGCAGCAGCACAATGCAGCCACATCTTCAAGAAAAACACGAAGACAGATTGAGATTCTGGAAGTAGCACCAGGGCTGGACAGGACAACCCCAGGTTGTTCCCACTGTTTGGAGGATTTGGGGGGCGGGGGGGGGGATGATTGTTTGGAGAAAGGAAAAGAAATGCTACATTAACTGCTTCATCATGATGACAATGAAGCATCCACGGGTCATTCGTGTGAGGGCTTGCCTCAAGCAATTCATAAATCTCAAGGGAGATTTAAGTACAGCCATGAACAAAGAAGGGATTCAAAACGTCCTCTAAGAGCAACTTTGGCAATAAATAAAAGTTTTTCCAGCAGAAATAATAAAAACTTTTATATTTGAGCCCCCCCCAATTATTTTTACCACTGGCACATTTACACTGAAAGTGATATTTAACTTAAGAAACATATTTCCTTTCTTCCGAACTGAACATTATAGAACTGAACATTATAGGGTGACAGCAAGGAGGCCTACCAACCAAGGGACAAAAGTCACAAAGCAAGCAACAAAAAAAAAAAGTTTTTGAAATGGAAAGATTTTGACGAAGCTTACTGATTTTCAACATGACATTAAAAATAAAATAAAATAAAAAACATTCCATGCATTGTTTTCTTTCTGCATCCGTTTTACTACAAACTTTTTGACTGATTGAAAAACTTTTTTAAATGTAATTTTGCAATGACATGAATTAATTATTATTATTGTTAATTATTATTATTATTATTATTATTATTATTATTATTATTTTTATTTATTTATTTATTTATTTATTTATTTATTTATTTTGGCCTTTAACTATAGATTTGACATTGAGTAATGTCTAAATGTTTCACCCTCAACACTAAAATCAGTTCTATCGCACACACAGAGTGGGCTTTACTGAACATGGGGGGCTTTTTCCCCGGGTGGGATTCAAACAAGAACCGCCACTGACCGTAGGAGGGGTAACAGAGGTAGAGACCTCCACGCCCACCCTGCCTCTCTGTCCCACATTTCCACGGGTCTCTCACTCCTCTCCCCTCCCTCACAGTCTGAAGGACTCCGGCTTGACTCGCGGCTGAATCCTGGAGTAAAGATGCGGGCGGTCGGAGCCGCGGGTGTCGCTGAGCTGTGGGCCGTGCTGGCCGCCCTGGTGGCCGGCGCCGCGTCCGAGCTGGTGACGCTGGTGCAGGAGCAGGTGAAGCCCGAGTCGCCGGTGCTGCCGCCGAAAGTTATGATCGCGATCCTGGCTCGGAACGCGGCGCACAGCCTGCCGCACTACCTGGGCTGCATCGAGCGGCTGGAGTACCCGAAGGAGCGCATAGCGATCTGGTGAGAGCGCGGGGGCCGTCCGGGGGTGCTGATGTGGTGTTTACCTGCATTAGTCATTCAAGAAAAGAAAGAAAGAAAAAAATAATAATCATAGTGCCAGATTCTATTCAGTTGTGACCTGCACGGTGGTCCACAAACAAGCGGTTCGTAAACTTTACCGACAAGACCTGTCGCTGCGTTTTCCCCAAATTGCACACTGTGGGAGAAGATGAAAGAGCTTTGTGGCGTGTTAGGGTTAGACTTAACCCTTAATCACGGCCCCATCCGCCTGATTAAGCATAAACCTGCGGAAACAAGTGGCTCTTTAAAACAGCAGGACTCGCAGGTATGAAAGAGGGGCTTCACCACAGGTAGGGTCCCGTAAACTGGCTGGCTCCCGCTGTGTTTAGGGAGAAGATGAAGGAGACAAAGAGGGCGCCTGCAGGTGTAGGGATGAAAGAAGACATTGAGCTGGTCTGACAGCAGCAGGAGGGGTGTGTGTTTTGTGTGTGTGTGTGTGTGTGTGTGCGTGTGTGTGTGTGTGTGTGTGAGAGAGAGAGAGAGAGAGAGAGAGAGTTCTTGGAAGTCATGTGTGAAATATGTGTGAGCCTCTGCACAGACTGGATGGTGGCTGTGCAGGATTATGAATCAGATAATTGAAAATGTTTGTGGAATCGGAGAATTTGAGCCTCAGCTATGCAGACTTCAAAAGATGTGATAATTATCCTATGAAGGACAACTTTTAGTAGGTGTGGTTCTGAATCTGCGCAATGATTTTCACCACTCTTTTATGCGATGCATTGCAAAAGTGCTGTTGATCCTTTTCTGTGCTGTATTTTGTGCACTAATAAGATTTTACATGAATGAATAATGCAACTCGGTGCATGTAGTTGTGCAATGGACAAGACGAGTTACATGTTTCATCTATTGTTGCATCCCAAATGTCCTCTAATGGCATGAAGAAAGGTGCTGTCGGTGTGCACTGTGGGACCAAAATCAAACATTTCTGTCCTGCAAAAATCACAGTGAGGAGAGGAATCCATCTGCATTGTGAGGGATTGTGTTGGCTGCATCATCCTGTGGGATATTTTAGCTCCCCCAATGGAGTTGATTAATCAGGCCGATTGTGGTTTCTGCAAAATACTGACTCACTGGGGCTGAATTTATATGCACATCACATTTTTGTTGTTGTTGTTGTTTTTCACTTCACATAATTTATCCCAACAAATCTGATTAAAAATACTTTGAAGCTTGTGGCTCCACATATCAAACTGTGATCTGATCTAAGTGATATGAATATCTTTGCTGCGTTTCAGCTGGTGGAGCATTGAAATGCAAACGAGGTCTGCAAAACAGTGCAGACCTCGTGCACTGTTTTGCACGAGGTCCGCTTCCGGTCCAACGGGCCTCATCAGATTCACCCTGTTTTCACGTGAGAACTCAGATGCTGGGGGAAAACTTCCCACGGAGGAAGAGAGAGAGAGAGAGAGAGCCGGCACTTTGCAGCAAAGTGTGAAAGGCACTGAAGCTTACACGGATTTGTGATCATATTAACCAACAGAGAAAGGGGCCCCATCACTCATGAGGGGCGTCTCTGTGCTCTGCTGTCAGTGCAAACAGGACAAATGCTCTCTGTTGGATTTTGGATATGCAGAATAGGCTGAAGCTCATTGATCAGTTTTTAGCTTCTGATGCGCAAACTTAATGTAATCTAACTAAAAATTTTTTTAAAAATGTCAACATTTCCAGCTCTGATGAACACAACACGACAACATAAGTTTCAGTTCAGTGATCTCCAGTCCTTTCTTATATCCTTTTTGTCTTTTAGCTGTGAAACACATGATTCAGCTGCTGTTTACTGGAAGAAATTCAAATAATAAGGTTATTATTTCTATTGGCTGTCTGGGGTCAGGTGTTTCTTGTACCTATTCACACTAAATGCCAAACTACCATAATTTATTTCCACGTCTATATTAGATGATAAACAGATAACAGCTTTGTCTTTTCACTCAGTCGCAACTCGACAAAATACTGACTGCATGTGAGCCGTTGCTTAAGTAGCCAATAACTATGGCAGCTGTTAGCTACAGTACTAAAGGAATATTTTTAGCAACAGTAACATTAAGAACTAGAAAAATGTTTGCGGAATTAGTTTTTCTGCATAATTAGTGGGAGAATTAAAAACAGTGTCGTCTTTTCATGTAAAAGCTGAGGTGATTGTTTAAAGTGCTGCTTTTGAAACTTTCTGCTGTGCTGCAGTGCTATCATCAGCATGTATGCAAGCAAGTGAACACTGAAATCCAGCTTTACTGACTTTCAGATTCTTGTGAATTTGCAATTTCCTCCGCCACCACAAGGGGCGCTGTAGCCGCTTTACTACCCCACTTATTGCGCTAACGATGTAATGAAGAAGTGCCATAATTTGTTTGCCTTTGTGGTTACGAGGTTTGTTTGAAGAAAGCGCTAAATACTGAAGCTCAAACATTGTAATACAACTGGGTTCTGTTGATGTGAAACAGAAAGACTGGCGTTTAGAAACGTCAAGTATACTTCAATGCAGTGGAATTATAACTGTTTGTTTTTGAACAAAGTTTATTGGCTTTTTGTGGCTAGGAAAATGAGACGTCTTAGTCACTTTCTGTCTTGCTGTGTGTTCATCATCATTGCAGCTCATGGCCAGAGCCAACCACCCAATAAATGCCCAAGAAGCTGTGCTCAAAAAGCGTAATGTAGCAAATAAAGCATTCAAACAAGTAGGGAAACAAGCTCTTTGAGCAACCAGATCCCAGCTGACATGACTGAGGTGAAACTTTGCGACTTTTCAGTCTTTATTTAAGGGCTTATATGATAATATACAGATGTCAGGTGGAGCTAGGGAAGCACACTTCACTTCTGTCTTGTCTTTATGTGCTGACAGGTGAATACATCTTAACACTGGGTTTCTAAAATGAAGGAGGAAACATTGTTAAAGCAGGAATGAGGGAACCATTCCACTTTCTTCAAGCCGGTAGTTTGAAGCATTGTTTTCTCATGTTTTGTGTGTTAGGATGTTCTCTTTATACAATTTTCGCATTGAAATATCGACAAGATCCAGCGAGTGAGAGAAAAAACTTTAAACGTGAAGAAAAATTGTGGCAACTTGTGCTTTTATTTAAAGATTTTCTGTAAATTTCTGAGATTAAAATGTTGTCGCTTCATGCTGCTTGAGATGTTGTAGCCTTCAGTCATTAATGATAAACAACACATACTTGGGGCATTAATGTGTTTGTGCTCATCATTTCACTTTTGTTTATTCATTTACATACTATATTTAAAACAAACTTAGTTGGAACAAACGCTACGCAAGAAAAAATTAAATAAATCAATCACAGTATGATAAAAGACAATCGTATTGCAAGGTATTTTTTAGTAGCAATATTTGAAATTAATTCTGAAATAGGAAGAAGATGGGTGGCATTGATGAAGTTTATAAATTAATCCCTATTAAAAGTGAGATATCTTTAAATCATAAAGCAAATATAATAGCTTGAATATGTAGTTAGAGCTGTAAATCATCAGTGAAAAAAGTAGATGGAGATAATTGTATTTTGTGAACTCTGATCAAAGTTGAAACCTTAAAAACCAGCATGGGGCTTATTACAGAGCCCTGAGGCACTCCACAACCGAGAGGGAACATTGCCAGAAAGATTTGACTTTAAAATCTTTACTTTAAAAACAAAAACAAAAAAAAACGTTACATTTGTACATGTTTATTCAATAAAGTAATACGTTTTCACTCAGTCATGATATGGATTTAGCGGTGAGTGACAAAGTGTCCAAAAAGGTTTTTAAAAAAGTTACCTTTGGACTTCCTACTAAAAAATAATGTTTAGGAGAGGAGACATAAATACTTTCTTCAATGTTACAGTAGCTGCTTATATGATGAAGCCCATCTGAACATTTTATGCAATGAATGAATGAAACTAACATATATGTTTACAAAAAGCACAGAAAGCCTGTAGTTTAGAGCTAATCCATAATGCTGCTGCTCTTTTCTGTGCAGATTGTTGGTTTGTCATTGAATACCAGCTCTCCTTTCGGAGTTTCCCCCCTGGAAGTTCGAACTGATCTTATCGAATAGTCGCTGAGGAAGGAGAAAACCTCTCATGCCCTTGTTAGTAAATTAAAGAATGCTAGGTATTAGCAGAAGGAGGGGGGAGCTGCTGGAGAGAGAGCGGTCAGCAGTGTTCCAAATTACCCAGAAGGCATAGCAATTGGGATAATCTGCATTGTCAAACTAACTCAACTAAATCCACTTGAACCATGAAGGGTTTCTTGCTTCTCACTGAAATGTATCCATGATAGAGATACAACCCAGCAAGATAACGTCACCAACGCTGCATTAACAGATTTGCTCCCTGTTGATTATTTCTTTTGTTAGAAGCAGATAACCAGAATGGTGTTCCTTATAATCAGCTGTGAGGGAAATCACAAGAGACTCCCTGAACTGTAAACTTTCTGTATTAGCCTTGATGCTGACGAAGCGTCCTGATGTTTCTAACCACGCGGCGATAACATTCGTTTCTGGCTGCCTGCTATCAAAATGCCTGCTGGCTCTGTTCATGTCGGGGTGGAGCGCTTTTCCAGGTGCTGAGCTCGGGGTTAAGATGATTTGTGGACTTGTCAGAGTTGGACCCAGAGTGGAAATAAGACTTACATAATTGCCTTTCCCCTCAGGACCTGCATTCTCACTTTTATGGCATAATGTTATCTGTTCTTAGAAAACCGCCAACCATCACAGAGCTCGGAAACAATGAGGTTTGTGTTAGATGGTTTGATTTATAACAGTCTTTAAGTCAATGAACGTTCTTGTAATTTATTGGCTAAAATCATACATAGCTATAAAATATCTGACTAACTCTGATCTGCAGCAAGTGGATGTTTAGTTTTCAGCTAAGAAATGTGATTTATTTAAAGGTCTGGAATATGACATAACACCACAGGGCAAGAATTTTCCACATTTGCATAAATACTTTAGCTCT